CCTGTTTCTGTTTGTTCTGTGGCTGGTTCCTGCCAATACCGCAAAGCTGGAGATGTTTCAGGTATGCCCGCCAGCTGCACAATTAGAGCCCGTCAGTCTGATCACACCGACAGCGCCTTAAGGGCGTCATAGATAGCCATATTGCGGAAGAGCAAGCGCGACAACGTCAGGCTGCAAATAGCGCCCAAGCAGCAAGGACTCCGCAAAAACGGCGTCCACAGGCTCAGAATGGCAGCCGCCAAAGGGCTGGCTCCAGGCTGAGAGAACAGCAAACCAATGTCTCGACCGAAAAAGGCCCAGATCCGTCAGAGTTCGAACCGGAGTTCGCGATCGGAGGCGATGAGAGCGCGGTCCCTAGCAGGGCAGGCACTCCAAGGCCTGAGGGAACAGGCAAAGAGAAGGAGCAAGTCAAGGAGGAGGACGCACCAGTTTCCGAAGATGGAGGGGACACACATACTCTCGCGGAATCCGCTGACAGCAAAGTGTCAACAGTGTCAGATGTCAATGGCAACACCACCACCTCCTTGCGTCCTCAAGATCTCCCCACTGAAGTCCGCGTGAAGCTGCGCAGGCTGGATCGTATGGAATCAAAGTATGCAGAATTGTTAAAAGTATACAGGACGGCCCATGCACGAATACAAGCCGTCGAGTCCTTCGAGGCCTCACTGCGCGAGAACACTCCCCTGACGAGCATCAACGACCCCAGCGCTCTGGTCGAGTATTTGAATCAGATCAATCTAAAGAGCGACATGGTCGTGGATGAATTGAAAAGAGTAACATCTGACAGGGACGATTACAAGAAGAAGTTCCAGGCTGCCGAGGAAGAAACCGCGGGACTGCGTGAAGAAGTCGCTAGCCTGAAGAGCAAGCTTGAGACAGCGTCTCAACAGAAGGCATCTGGCCCCGAGAAGAATTTTTCGATCGGCAGTCCGCACATTACGGTAGCCGGTGACAACTCTTCCTTGAAGGAAGCGGCAGACTCGGAACAAACGGCCAAGTCCCCTACAACGACTGCTTCCCGAATTGCGAGCTTCTCTTTATTTTCTCCTCGGCACAAGGCGATGTCCCCGCCAAAGGAAACGTCAGAAGAGTTCTTTTCATTCGAATCCGAACAATCAAAAATGGAAGCTGAACTACACGAGAAACAAGCTGAGGTGGAAGACCTGAAGAAGCAACTCGCCAGCTTAAAGGCAGATCTCAAGGTCGCTCGTGAATCCACCGAAAGCATGGTGGAGAGCCTAGAGACGGCAACCCGGGAGTTACACAATCTCCGTGAAGCCAAGGACAAATTTGACGAGATCAAGAATGAGTTGCAGAACCGCATCGCTGAGCTAGAAACCAGAGCCGCCTCAAATATCACGCGGACGGACGAGCACCAAAAGGAGATCGACGAGCTCCAGGCACGAAAGCTCGAGGCAGTCTCACAACTGCAGTTGCTAGAGAGCCAAATCAAAGAGCTCGAGGCAACTAACGCTAAACTAGAAGAACAGATCGTATCCAAAGGCAAAGATGCGGAATTGTTGAACGAGAAGCTTTCACAGAAAGACTCCATTGTGAAGGACCTCGAAGATTCACTGGCATTGTACAAATCCGCGGAGAGGCAGGAAGCATCAAGGAGGCAAAATGAGCAATCGAGTGAGAAGAAACTCGCAACAATGCAAGGGATCATGGATACCTTACGCGGTCAATTGGACAAAGCCGAAAGCACGGTTGGTGAACTGAAAGCGGAGATCCAGTCCACCAGAGAGGAGCATTCACGCCACCCCTCTACCAAGGTCTTTGGCTTTCTGGACGATGAGACAAAATCCAAATTTGACACATTAACGACGCGTGAAGATGTTGTGCAATACCTTTCGGAAATATTCGGCTTGCAGAAAGCTCCTCCAAACAAGGCTGTTGCGGAAACAGCGACGGCTTCTCCAGCGCCATCGGAAGCGGGCACCGGAGTCTCCAAGAAGAAGAACAAGAAAAAGAAGAAGGGCAAAGGGCAGTCACAGACCGCAGCCGATGATGCGGCAGAAACTGTGACGCCGGTCAAAGTGTCAGAAAACTTGGCTGAAGTGGATGATGTCGAGGCTGGCGCAGACGAAAATATCTCAAAGCTGCAACAAGAGATCTCGGACCTCAAGGCGGAGCTAGCATCTAAAGAAGACGCCATTCACCGACTTTCTAAACAATTGAAAGACCAAGAGGAATTGCAAGAAGAGATTGAGACCTTGCGAGACGACCTCCTGCATCAAGGTGAAGAACATGTTGAGGCTCGTGATGCATTGAAAGATGCCCAAACCCAGAAGAATAATCTTCAAGACGCTGTGGATAAACTTGAAAAAGAGTTGCTGGAAGCTCGAGTCGCGATCGCAAGCGGCACTGAAAGGGAGAAGACGCATAAGGAAATACTTCAGCAATTCGATGAACTCAAGGATCGGTGTTCCGGCCTGGAACGCGATCTTGCAGCTTCCGAGCAACTGGCTGCGGGTCGGTTCAAGGACATCACTGACCTGAAGGAGCTGCTCGCCAAATCACAGCCTGAACTGAGAAATCTTCGCAGTGAAATTGCAGAGCTCAAAACCGCAAAGGACGATCTCAAGAACAAGACAGGCGAGTTTAACAGACTTGAAGCACGACATGAAGATATCAAGGCTGAGCTCAAAGGGCTTAGCAGAAGACTTGGCGACAAAGACAGTGAAATCAAGGAGTTACAGCAGAAGATCGAACAGGAGATCAGCGCAAGAACCAGGATAGAAAAAGATCTTGACAAAGCACAGTCTGATCTCCAAACAGTGGAGAGCCGACATGATCAAGCTACTACCCGTTCGGAGCAACTCGCAAAAGATCTTCTCAAAGCAAAAGAAGAATCGACAACCCTCACAACGAAGCTGCGCGATCTCGAGGAGCAAGTATCAGCTCAAGCCCGCCAAATCACCGAACTGAAAGAAGAAATTTCCCTCAAAACAGCCCTCCACGCATCGTCACAAGCTCTTGTCCAATCTCTCCGTGACCAAACACACGAACTCAATATGCAAGCCCGCGAAGCCGGCACACGAGCCGAGAGCCTCGAAGAGGAGCTTGGTGAAACACAAAGAATGCTCTCCGAGCGCACGCGTGAGGGGCAAACCATGCGCATGCTGCTAGATCAATCCTCAGCGGGTACGGAGGCACGGATTCGGGAGATGAAGGAACGCATGGACGCCGCAATTGAAGAGAGGGACAGGGTGGAGGATGAGGCGAGCGTCAGTCAGAGACGCATGATGCGTGAGGTTGAGGAGGCGAGGAGTAAAGCCCGCGATGCACAACGATCGCTCAAGATTCTGGAAGATGAAAAGGAGGAGTTGGAGAGTAGGCTGAAGGAGTGGAAGAGGAGGAGAGAAGAGTTGGAGCAAAGTGCAACAAAGGCGGCCAGAGAAGTTGAGGAGGTAAAGGCTGCCATGACAGTGTTAAGGGAGGCGTTGGATGACAGCGAGCGGCAGATGAGGGAACTTGATGCGCAGAAGGCCGACTTGCGTCGAGTAGGCGATGAGGCTAAAGAGAGGGTCGAGAAATTGACCAAGGCGAACAAAAATCTCACAGAGGAATTGAAGGCGGCTCAAGCGAATTCAAGGTTACTGAGCAGACCTAACCTAGGTCGAGTGGATTCCAATGCGCCGAGTTCCAGGACATCTATCGATTCTGGCCATGCGAGGTCACCAGCCCCCAAAGAACGAGTTTTGTCTACAACGACCAGTCGCAGCGAGACGCCCGTTGCCCCGGCGGGAGCGCCCGCCGGCCTGAGTCAAGGAACCGTTGACTATGTATATCTGAAGAATGTTCTACTACAGTTCCTGGAACAGAGGGACAAGGGGCACCAAAGGCAGCTGATCCCCGTGCTGGGCATGTTGTTACATTTTGATCGGTATGTTTTCTCCCGTCCTGGTCAATTTTTGCCGAACCCTTTGCTTCTCGTTCTCTTTCTCTCGGGAGATATTGAATCTGACCGTTTCCAAAGGAAAGATGAACAGAAATGGATCGCAGCGATTTCGACACGGTGATTGACTTGTTCTCTTTCAAATTATACGAGCACGGGCATTCAAGAACACGAATCATGGCTTATATAGTAATAACCCGAACAATCCGGAGTCCATCGAATCCCCAGAATGGGAGGGGCAGGATCGAAATCAACATCGATATCGATATCGAAACCACTACTTCCCTATTAGGGACTTTTGAACACGTCGATACAGAAAGAAGGGAGGGGACCACGATCCTGTTTGTATACAAATAACGCGAAGAAAATGAAACATCCTCAAGCATGCGACTTTTGGGGACTGCTTGGTCTTGAAACTACAGAGGGATATAGATTGTTAAAGCTTTGTGTTGGTTAGTGGATAAGTCCTCTACAGAGGAAACAGACATTGCAAATACTCAGGCTAGCTCTTAGGATTGTATTGCTCCACTGGAAGTAAACCTTCTTGTCATAGACGGCGCAGCACTTCCCCCATGGATGGGATCATTCCTCTCCTGATTCCCTGAACCTCTCCTCCTCTGTATGTGTCTGTCTTTCTATACTCGGTATATCCTATCCCGCGCCGAGTCACCCTCCAGTTCTGTACATATCCTCCCTGCCTAAGGAGTACTTTCTCTCGCTCTCCCATCAAAGGATGACCCACCCTGAGTAAACCGACAGTGCGCTACGCCTGCTTGTACCCAGCAAGATCCCAGCCCCTCTACCGCCTTTGCTCACGGTCCCAACTCACACCGTCCACCCGGGTTGTAGGATGCCTCGTGGAATTTCTCGCTATTCGCCTCGCCTGACTCTGCGTCGCGAGTGTGAAGACGTGCTGTTCGCCTTCCGGCCCGATATTGTTATTGGTGGTTAGATGTCTAGTGACGCGCTCCCCGGCGCTATGGGAGGATTGTCGCCAGCGCGAGACCTCAAAGACAAAGGCGGGGGTGTCTCGAAGACGCGCATTGTGTTCCGTGAGCATTTTCTCGCTAGCGTGGGAAATATGGGGCGAGATGGAGCACTACTCATATTCCGGATCCGCATCGCCGTAGGATTGGGATTGTTGCCTCATCTTGAAGTTGTTGGTCCTGGCCTTCGTTCGCTTGTTGTTGTTGTTGTTGTTGTTGTTGTTGTTGTTGTTGTTGTTGTTGTTGTTGTTGTTGTTGTTGTTGTTGTTGTTGTTGTTGTTGTTGTTGTTGTTGTTGTTGTTGTTGTTGTTGTTGTTGTTGTTGTTGTTGTTGTTGTTGTTGTTGTTGTTGCCGACGAGCTGTGTCTGGAGGATATTGGCTGGGATTTCATGCAGATTCGACGTCCGCACGAAGCCCCAAGGCGTCTTCACAGGGCCGCTGCGGTCGATAGGTCCGATGGGCTCATGAGCAAATCCTTCATATCCTTCATCTTTGACGGCGGGGAGACAATCTGGTTTTTGATCTTCATCTTCACCTTCGCCTTCATCTCCAGAAGCAGCAGCAGCAGCAGCAGCAGCAGCACGATCAATGTCCTCTAAATTTCGTCCAGACCATCGAGTGTCCCAGAAGGTGAGCAGTGCCCAGAGTTTAATGAGGGAATGGCAATACGCAAAGACGTAGCAGCCGGGGAGATAGACTAGATCTGCCGGATGCCGCAGAAAATAAGGCACCAGTTTCGGAAGCTTCGAGCCCAATATCCACAAGACCAATATTCTCATGGCGGCGGCGGTGTAGAAGCTCGTCCGCGTCAGCACCCACACCAGAGTCGCGTCGTAGAACAAGGCAAAGTTGACCATCTGGCTGATTTGAAGGGAATACACCGCCCACGGCTGTGATCGAAACACCGAGCGGTCCGTGACCAGCGAGCACATGTTGCTTCGGAATGTGGTGCGCGCCCAGCGAAGACACTGCTTGAGGAATTTGGGGTACTCACCCACGTCGCACAGGATCATGGCGTCCGGGGTGTTCTGGAACTTGATCTTGAAGCCTCGTTGGACAAGGGCCCGGGTGAGGAAGTTGTCGTCGTCGGCGTTCAATGGGCCGCAGAGACCCCAGAGGAACCTCTCGTCCAGGTACCTGGCCAGGAGCGCTGGTTCCTGAAGGATGCAGGTCCGCTAGAGACAAGTCCGGCCGCTGACAACGGCGACGCCACCGTCGACCGCGTTGGAACTCGTGTGCTCAAAGTTGTGTCGCTCGAGGTATAAGGCTCCCATGACGTTCCAAAACCCATCCCACGAGCCCGTGTTCGAACGGCGAACGACACGTTTGTTGGTGCCCACGCCACCAACCCGCGCATCCGCTTCGAATGGGGCGAGCGCTGCACGTAGGATATTTGCAGAAGGCCAAATCACATGGTCGTCGCATAGAACCGTGATGGAGGTCTTGACTGCTGGCAGTGCAGCTGCGATCTGGTGGCGCTTATTTGCCTGGGCGCTGGATGAGACTCTGAAGCAGACACTGTGAAAGCGATTGATGAATGGGCCTATTGTCGTCCATACTTGTTTCTCTTGCTTCTTTCCAACTACCACAATGTGGATGACCGAAGGCGATGCTCTCGCGACTGACTCCACGCATCGACAAAAGGCTGGGTCCTCGGGACTGCAAGTTGGAATGACAACTGTGCAATCGCTTTCCGATAGTGATGGAGACAGAGGACGAGGAGATGGGCGGTAAAGGAAGAAGCTAACCAGATGGACAACAAACCTCAGGTACCGGAACACGAACATGAATAGGAAGAGGAAGTCCTGATGTAGTACAGAAGTCCAAATGTTTGTCCAATGCAATTGAGCAGCCATAGTGTTTTCTAGTTAGAGGACTGACTAGGAAAGAAGTCCTGTGCACAAGTAGAAAGAGTTATGAGGATGTCTGTTGGAAAGGAAAACTGGACGAAGACTTGAAGTATGTAGACTTGTGTCATTTTGTAGAATGGAGACAACAAGGCAGTCGAAGGCGATGTGAGGAAACAGCCTTGGGCGCAGGAACGGTGTCGAAGCTCATTCATTGTTCTTGCTTCGATTGAAAGGATGAAACATTAAGCCAACCATCAATGCCTTGTCCGTATATAGGACTTAGCAATCGAGGGTGTCTCGGAAATCCCTTCTACTCCGAAGCGTGGCGTGGGATGAAGTGGCTCTCTGGAAGGCTTGTCATAATATGGGTCGAGTTCTCTTCACCTCGATGGACTAACTTTGGTAAATTGCAGCAGTTCGATTCAAGGCCCCATGTCAAAAAGAGCCTGCTGGTAGGAACGTTGGGGAATCAAGGAAAGTTCGTTCAGGTAAGGGGGCCATCATTCGGCATAGCTGAACTGCAGACTTCTTCAATCTGTGAGGGTAGCAAGAACATGTGCATTCCAGCCAAAGTCAGGTAGTCGCTGCATCAATATAATGCGTACAGTTGCCCCTGCCACTGGGGGCTGATAATTCGAATTATGCGAGACAAAACGCTCGGTAACCGTCATCCCCGGCGCCTCGCTCTGCAAAAAAAAGTCGCCTTTGACCGCCAGGTGGTCGAGTCCATTAGATCCTCATTCAAAGGTCATACTGATCTCCCCGCGGCTCTGCCCAAACTCATCATCATCAGCCCAGGCGTTACGTTCCAAATCCAGCCCTGGCATCGGCGGAGTAGTTGTATAGTCGGATGCAGTCGACGGCCGCCGGCCCCAGCTTGGTATGGAGGAATCGGTCGCGTGCGGTTTGAGTTCCGGTCGGGGACCCAGAGGCGCGTTGTAACTGTCCGGTTTCGAAGATACAGAAGCCGTAGTGCTGAGAGCTGGTAATGTGCTAGCTAGTTCCCTTGGCTCTGAGTTTGCGCAGGACGACCGCCTACTCGGGTCAGGAGAGCGTTGAGGAGATCTGTGTGGGCTGATACGAGGAGAGAGCTGGGGGCTCGCTATAGAGGCGGGTCTTAAAGATGATGACCGTGCCGGCCGAATCGCGGAAGGCTGCTGTATAGGGGCGAAGGAAACATCAATCTCGTCAGGTCGTGGTGGGAGGTTCAGCCTTGCGATTTCCTCAGGCTTCATCCCAGGTGGAAGGCGTAAGTATTCGACATGTTTTTCTCCGTCTTTGACTGACATTATTTGCATTGGAGGCAAGGTGCTGTCTAATTCTCTGACCTCGATCATTTCGCTTGCCAGTTCTCTTCGGATTGCATCAACGTCAAACAACACGTTGAGATCGGCGTTAGTACCGGGCTCTGGAGTGTTGCTGGCGTTCCTCTTGTGGCTGGTGTCATTCACATTGTACCTCTCCCAACCTTGTTTCTCAGCCAGTTTGCCTCGTTTGAAAAGCCCGAAGCGCTTCTTCTCGGGTTTCTCTTCGGCTTTCCTTCTCGCTTCGTCGATTTGCATAATAAGCTCTCGCTGCCGTGCTGCGTGATTTTCAGGATCCGGATCTTCGATCTCAGTGAACTCATCGCTTTCAACTTCCCACCCCACTTCTCGCAATAGCCGTGGCATAGCAGCACGATAGGACATGTGGCCTTTAACCCATGCACTGACATTGACATTTTCCACGCCCGGAATTCCTTCTACCGGTGCAAGCCCAGCAACTCGCATGATGCCACCAGACGTCATCCGAAACAAATATCCCAGAATCCAGTCGTTAGAAGCATATCCATTCAAAAACCTCCCCGAAACAACGGAACGAGCTCGCAGATATTCGTCCTTGTTGGCGACCACAGGGGAGCCGAACATATAAACATTCTGGACCAGGCCGTATGCCCCACGGTTCGACAGCTCTTTCAGGCACGAAAAGATGACCCTCGATCCGAGGGAAAACCCTAGCAGAGTGATTGGTCTTTGTCCAAGGTGCCTGTCAATCAGCGAGTCCGCTAAGATAAGACCTGCAGCTGTCGCTCTATCGAGAGATACACTCCACGGATTGTCGATAAGGTAAGCCAGTTTAGAAAGCACAACCGGCAACTGTATTGATGCCATTAGAGTGATTAATATCGTGCTTCCGAGGACTTGTTGAACGGTTTGGGTCAAGGCCTCCGTGGCGAGGATATTGATAGTGTCACCCATCGACCGGAGCATTTCTGGCTCCCAAAGTAGGGAGTAGATGTCGCCCATGATAGGATCAACAGTGCTGTAGGGCAAGCGGACATCGTCAACTTTACCAGTCATCCAGCCAGAGATCGTCAAGATAAGATTCAGCCTTTTGTTGTTGTGTAGCGGTCGATATTCAAACGTTTTCACGCTACCCGTCCGCCGATCTGCAGCTCGAACAGCTATCGTTCCACCGGCTGCTGTGGCTGCGGAAGTGATCAGAGCTGCTCCACCGACTCCTCCCAGAAAACCTGCAGTACCAGTGACACCGATTGTTGTGAAACCAGCTGCCAGACCCGCGCCAATGAAGGGTGCAAGTAGACCTGCTGACAGACCAATGACAAGACCGCCGCCAACAGTGGCAAGACCCATGACCATGTATTTCTTCTTGAGAGAGCGTACACGTCGTTTCTCCATATTTTCAGATTCATCCCAGTTCTCCTTGGCCTCTGCTTCTTGCATTTCTAGGGCATCGATAACCTTCTTCTCAAATCGACATATTTGAATCCAGCTAATATCCATTGTCGAGCCAACCCGTTCAAGTAGTCGTCTCGATCGAGAGTCATACTGGCCGTCTGATATCAGGACTAGGAATAAGTCACATAAGACAGTCCATCGCAAGTCGAGCTCAATCTCCTTTGTGTGAGGCATATCTTCCGGTCCGTGGACTTCAGGAACGTCTTCGCCCTCCTGCACCTCTTTCAAAGAGACATCGCCTTTCAGTGAGGACGCGGAGGTCGCCGAATTTCGGTTTCGCGAGACATCTGGCCTCGAGGTTTCGGTCGCTGTCTCATCAGCCATAGGATTCTTTACTTTTGCATTCAACATGAGGGGTGCAACGAGGTCAGAAGGCTGCACCCCGTGCTCAGCGAGTTGCTCGATCATGATCTGCTCGGCCTGGTTGATATCCATGTGAGTATATAGCCGAACCATCATTTTCTGTCCCCACATATCCATACTCTCCAAAGATTTTACCAATTCTTTCCGCACTGACTTTGTCTTCTCTAGGTCGCCTAATGCTGTAAACATTTTGTGGATTGTCAAACGGACGACGCCGACATAAGCTATCCGCTGGCCCTCTGTCAGGAGATCTTTGGTCGCTTGCAGCTGGCTGAGAGCATCCCGCTGCTCGTCATCGTGATCATCATTGGCCTCTATGTCTTCCATTTTCTGCCCATTCCGAAACAGATAGTTTGTATCTTCGTCCAGACTTGTAGCAGATTGTGCATCTTCGTCGAGCTGCACTCTCGTATACCCCTTCCCAGCCCCTCCAATGCCAGCATAGGCATTTGCGTCTGATTCAGTTTCTAGGTGACCTTTTGCCACTAGACGACCATTATCATCGTAGATATCAAATTCGTCAATGGCTGGCATCGGCTGCCATTCTTCCTCTTCGTCTTCGTCGTCTGATTGGGCTGAAGCCGCAATTTGCCTTTGGTGAGACCATTCGGAGGCTGTGGCGGGAGCTGATCGTGGATTACGCTTTGGTATAACTGTCCCAGATATTCGGGACGCTCTTGGGGATGTAGGGCTATCCTCTGTTTGTTCATCCTGTTTCGCGGCGGCGTTTAAAGGTGGAATATCCTCTGCAGGTTTCGTCTCGACACCTGATCCCTCACCAACGACTTGACTCTCCTTGTGTACCTTCGACTCCTTGAATATTACCCCTCCCTCAGATGCAACATCCGGTGACGATTGCTTGGTACTCTCGTCAACTAATTTTGAAGGCTTCTCCGCTGTCTGGTGTGGCTTGCAGGTAGCTTCTTTACCGTCCCCCTCACTTGCACCGTTTATATCCGTAGGTACTTCGGCATCATGAAATGTATCGTGGTCATCGTCACTGTCGTCCAGCTCTGCGGGTCGGCTCGCTCTCACCGGTCTTTTGGGCAAGCCAAAGTCGTCGAGCTCGGGCTCAACAGAAGCCGCCGAAGGAGTTGCCTTTTGACTCGAGGATTGTTCCAAAGAGGAATTTTCAAGGGCGTTTTCCTCCTTATTATCGCCTCCACTGGTCATAATGCCACATTTGCGGGACGGTAAGCCTGAGACATGTGTCTCGAAGCCACCTATGGGAGAGGGACTCGATTTGAACTGCTTTCGGTGCGAGAAACAAAGAACGGCAAAATACTGACACAGTCGTTCAATTCAGAAGAAAGTTGGAGACAGGGATATACAAAGGCTGTCAATATGTCAAAGTTCAAACAGTCAAAAAGCAGATGCAAGCACGTTACTGTATCCTGCATACGGTGTACCTCGTAATCGTCAAGACATTGCACGGAGATCGCAAAAGAGTGGATTCAACATCTCGCCACTTTAACAGGAGTCACGTGAGCGAGGCCTCGTACTACGTCTACGCGCTCACGTTTGTTTACCATATGCTCGATGATATATATCGTCTATAGCTACGGCTGTTCAGTGGAGTAGAAAGATGTCCTAGGTTGGACCGCATCATCTTAGCCCACCAGCGCTCGTGAAGGCCGGCTGAGTGTCGCAATTCGAGAAGCATACCACACCAAATATGGTTGAACCTCTTCCAACATGGTATGAGGGATCTTTGGAGAGATGGCTGCCCGAGTTTGATCTCCGGCCGACTATCTCGAATCGTTACGATAGTCCATCCAGAAACGTATTATCAAAGTTAAAGACGATTTCCCATGAGGTCCTGCGCATTGCCTTACAGAAAGAACGGTTGAAGCGAAGAGTAGTCCCAAAATCTCCTAATCCCTGACTTACATTAGTTCGCGAGAC